TTTTTTTTTATGTATTTATAGGTACCATATAAACTATAATTCAATGTAGATTTGTGCATCATTTTTTTTTTTTTGCATACGACTTAATTACTCAGTAGATCAATAAAATTAACCCTTCATTGCATGACTTTTTTTTTACAAACAGTTTTTTTTCTATATATAAACCTAGGCTCTTAGAACCTTTAAAAAATAATTTAAAAATAAATTTTTATATTCTAAGTACGAAACTTAAGTACTTATTATGGTGTAGCATCTATGCTACATATGCGCGAGGAGAATGATTATCACAATATAGGTAAAAAAATACAATATTATTTACTTTTTGAAAATAATTGTTTTTATTTAAATGTATACCATCTTTAACTATAAAATAAAATAATCATTCTTTGAAATTAATACTGATTATATAAACAAAAATAATAAAAATAAAAATATTTCCTTTTGTGACTTAAAACAAAATAACAGCCAATTGTATATATAAAAAAAAAATACTAATTTGTATGATAGCTAACAAAACAACTATTGTTTTTATTAAAACACATAAATGTCTTGCATTTACTGCAGTTTACATAAGTAAAGCCTTTGCAGTTTGTATACTTACACCTTTGTCTAGTAGTATTCCAAACTGGCCAATGACTTACACAATCATATCTTTCTCGATTAGTTATAGTTGATGTATGCACTACTCTAGGTTTTTTTCTGTCTGTCATGTACACATTATTAGCCTTTTTACAAGGTCTACCTCTGGTTGGAGTTATGTTTATGTTTTTACTTGTTTGGCACAAAGTCACAGCTAAAGTCGGGAGAATGAAAAGTGGCCGCTGATGCCCACGCGCCTGGTGGTGAATTTTTGTAATGGTTTCGCAAAAATGTGAAACAAAGCGCGCGCATTTTGAATTATTAACCATAATGCATATTGTTACATTTCATTCCAATAAGCAATACAAATAATTATTTTGATAAAAACATAAGTAAGTATAATGTAATTTAATATAGAGTTCATTTAAACGTATAATACAAATATATTATACAAAATAATTAAAATTAAAATATATACAAATAAATTTATTATAATCTAAGCAACTAAATATTCGCATCAAATACGTCGTCATCATCATCATGTTCATCGCTCCAATCGCTATCATCGTCTCTTAATGTTATAATGATCGGCTCTAACATGACATCCCTCAAAATTTCCTTTTCATTATCTTGATTTTGGATTTTTTCTGCGTGTGCAACACACTTTGCCCAATCTTCTTGTGTTACTGCATCCATAGCCGCGTGCGCTAACTTTTCTACGTCAGCCATCTTAAAAGTGTTATTGTTTTTAGCTACCTCCCCTTTAACCTTTGCCCAAATCAATTCAATTGGGTTATATTGACAATGGTATGGAGGTAACCTTATCACTTCATGGCCCATTTCCAGTGCTATTTCATCTAATTCGTAGCGTTTGTACATTGGAATGAGTTGTTTTACACGCTCGCGTAATTCAGATAACCGCTCTAGTGGTGAAAATTCAATATTTTTATTTTTCAGCCACTCTTCTACAACGGCTTTTCTGCTATTGCTTTTTGGAAAATTATCTTTAAGCTGTGAGTGGTAAGATGCATTGTCCATCACAATTACAGATGGCTCTTCGAGGTGGTTCAACATATTTATAAACCAATTTTTAAATACTTCCGAATTCATTGACGTATGATAGTCGCTCTCAAAACTGCTAACATTAGCTCGAAATATTAATTTGGAATCGCTAATAAAACCATATTTTGCAGAACCTGCGTGGCAAATTATGAGGCGACCCCCTTTGCCTGTGGGTACTTTTAAACCCTCGGTCTGTTCTGCATTTTGCCATATACGTGTTCTACTATGATTTTGGTTTATCCACGTCTCGTCCAAATAAACTACGGGACGGGTATCGTTTTGTTCGCGAAGCGTACAGATTTTTCGTAAAAATGCACAACGAAGTGCAACAATGTCGTTCCTTTCCATGAGAAATTTCCTTCCATCATTGCACTTTTTAAACGAAAATTTTAAATTTTTCAAAAGCGAACGCATCGACCAAACAGAGCCTTCCCAATTGCACTTCTTTTTCACTTCCGTTAAAATAGTAAGAGCTGTTGGGTACTCACCTCTATCGTAAAACTCGTGTACTACTCTGCGTACTATATCTGCGTCGAAATCGTCTAACTCGGTCAATGGTTTTGCACGTTTATACGTTTTACGCGGAGACTTGAACGAAACAACTTGTTGATCTGAATCCAAACTATCTTTTCCTTCTTTGCATACGCGCCTTACAGTACGTTCTGATAATCCACAAGCTTCAGCTGTTACCTTGAGGGACTGAGCAAACATAGATGGAGTAATTTCATCTTGTTTGGAGAGATCTTTTATAAATTTGTACACCGAAAATATTATTTTTTTTACTCTGACTACGAGTGTCACTACTACTGCCGGCCATTGTATAATTAAAAAAAAAAATGTAACAAAAATAGTAGTAAATAATAATATATTGGTTAAATTCAGTTATTGAAGCCTGATGTAATAAAACACAAGTACACAACACAACACAACACGGGTAATATTCGTTAACGAATGACGTATATTGCTGTTGGGTCGTAGCCTGTAGGGACGCAGATGTTATGGGTACAACAGCACAATACAAATTCCTCAAGTACAATTGGTAACCAAATCAAGAAAGAAGGCAAAAAGGAAAAATGTAAAGATCCCATTCAAAATTGTGCGCCGGTCAAATGTTGTAAACCAACCGCGCCTTGCGTGAAGCACTTTGAGAACCACTGTTTAACGAAAAAAAAAAATGTTCCTAACACATTGCCAGCGGCCACTTTTCATTCTCCCGACTTTAATACCTCCCTAAATTTTGCCAAAGTTATAATTTTATCATCTTCATTTTTTTGTGTAAGAACTCTCTTTTGCAAAATCCATGCATTTACCACACATGTATCTAGTAAATGGTAAAACAACCTTATGTACCATTTTCTACTCCTCATACGGATTTTATATCTGCCAATATTGGCATCTAACAAATCTACCCCTCCCATATGCTTGTTGTAAATAGTTACAGCACTTGGACATGGCACATTTACACTTTTTTTTTGAGACTTAGAAAACCTTAAAACTTCAGATTTTGGCTGTTCACCAATAAATGTAGACAATAAAGTAACCAAACGATTATCTTTCCATACAACTGCACTTAGAATATTATTTTGTATTTTTGTGATACATTCAGCTGATGACCCTCTTTCAGATTTCATGAATTCTTTTTCATTTGGAAGCTTTACTTGTTTTAACCTGTTTCTACGTACAGTTCCAAGTGACAAAACCCCAATATTTTTTAAATATACCAAAAGACCCAAAGAAGTATAATAATTGTCAAAATATACTACATAATTTTTATAAGTAGGTATAATTCTACAAAGTCTCACTACTATATTAGCACTTGCACCTAAATCAGGTTCATTTGTAAGGCGATATTGAGGGTCATTTTCTTGGCCACTATATATTTCAATGTTATAGGCAAAACCTGAAACACCTGCTAAAATAAACAGTTTATAGCCCCATTTATGAGGTTTCATAGGCATATACTGCTTCATGTAATGTCTTCCTTTAGTAGCACATAGTTGCTCATCAACAGATAGTGACTCCTCTAAAGGTACAGTTTGAAATCTTTTTTTTAAGAGTTTCTAAAACAGTTCTAATTCTAAACAATCTATCATGCCCTGGTTGTCCTCTAGGGATATAAATATCATTATTACAAAAATGTAGGAACTGTCTAATTTTTTTCAAATTTATTTACTGTCATAGTGTTTTTTATTACATTATTTTCTAAATTCTCAGACCAATATTGCCTAATATCAGGAACTATACATACGGAAGTCATAATACATATTCCCAAATATCGTTTTAAATCAGTTTCTGTTATTTCAAATGGTTTATTCACATTTTTTTTGTAAACTATACCTCAACGATTCTTCACATATATGTTGTAAGAGATCAGAAGAAAAAAAATAGTTAAAAAAAATCTAAAGGGGATTCTAAATCAAAAAAAAAGGGTCTTGTGGGAGAGAAGTGTCACCTTTAAATTTAATTTCATCAGGAGAAATCTGAAATGGTCGCTTTTTTCCAAACAACAGATTTAATTTCACGAAATTTGGTTCGTTTAGTAGTATTTATTTTATCAACAGTTGGAGTGTGCACGACTGACACTTCACTAGTTTTATTACTATTTACCAAAGGCTGCCTTAAATTTAAAGATTCAGAATTGGGTACAACAATAAGTATCGGATCTGCTAATTCAATAGCATTATTTGGAATAAAAATATTTTGATCTAAATCAGGAAGGTCAATAATATCAACATTATCATCATTATGATCATACATATCAGTATCATAATTTTCACAAACCAGTTCATCTATATTGAAATCCTCTAATTCATCCTCAGATCCTTCAGGAGGTGTTAAAAAAAGTAGATCTTCAATTTCATTATCTTGCAATATATTTTTTGAAGCCATAGTACAAAATTCTTGTAGATCAATAATGAATGATACAAATATCCTATTTTATTAAATTGAAACAGGACTTTCAATTAAACAGTAAAAAAAACAAATTAAATAATAATTTTTCGAAACTTACCAAGAAAACTTGTGATGGAAACGTTGAAACTTGTAATATTGATCAATAAGTAAAGAAAAAGTTATCAAATATGTAGAGAAAATAAATAAATAACGAATGATAATTATTACTATACCTTGTACGCATATGTAGCAGATATGCAACTTATCCAATTGACTGGGTTTTTCATTGCTAACCATTGTAATTGATTAAAAATAACTATTTTAAATGTTAAGAAGACAACAATAAATCCAATAATATTTTTTTTTCAACTAGTTTATTATGATATTTCAAACAAAATTAATGTGATAAAAACATGCCTATCAGCAGTTTTCTGATATTACGATGCACACTACTAAACAGCTGATTTATGGCGGTTAAGAGGCTATAAGGTAACTTCAACACGGTAATATATAAACATAGGTATGCTTATGATAATATAAATGACGAGCTATATGCCGATACTGACACTTTTTTCTTGGTTATAATACGTTTTAGTTGTTGTAGCAGATATGCTACATATGCAATGAAGGGTTAATAAAATAATTTTTACTATTAAAGTTTTTTTATAATTTTTATTAAAATAATACACGTCT